ATGCATCATCTCTACCAGAAGTTAGAGAACTCACTGAAATGGAAACATGCCAACAAACGGACACAGCAAGTGGTTTTGGTGTTTGCTTTCTTTTTAAAAGTAGCAGAGAGGTGGCAGAAGTTTCAGGCTCCAAGGGAGGTGGTGTTAAGGGCGGCAGAGGTCAAGGGCACTAACAGGGCTAAACCGGGAGCTGCAGGGCCCTTTTCCACTCCACAGGGGCTGCTACGCTAAGCTCCAGCTGTGGTAACGCTTTCCTGATTTCCTCCTAACCGTGCCTCGTATCTCTCAAAACATGCAGACCTTCAAGAAGACGATGTATATTGTCGAGGTGGACTAGATCTACTCTAATTTTAAGAAAACTAAACCTAATACCTGTGAATGGGGACGGCTAACTTTCTGAATCACGAGGCCACGCTCAGTGCTCGCACGCAGGTACACAGGTACGGCTGACTAGTGCTGCATCCACACAGGCCAGTGAGCCATGGCGGGAAGGTCACGGACGCATTTGACCTCCTGGCCCTCCCTGCAGTCAGGGCATAAGGAGACGCCATTTCTTTCTGACACTACACAGAAGGGGATCATTCAGTTTGTTTGTTTGTTTTCACATTTAATCAGTGTACATATTTAGAGTACAGCATGGTTCTTCCCAGCATGAATACGGCGCATCTTGGAAGGGGGCATTTTTAAACATGAGGCTGCTCCTGGGAAGCCATGGTGCTACAACAGCATGGAGCTGGGAAGGTTTGTTCCTGACACAAGAAAGGATTCTGCTCAACCCCATCAACATTGGCTGGGTGGTCAAGAGGGCGGATTTCACTCCACAATTTAAGAAAAAAGCACCTCTATGTGCTACCTTCCACCAGTGTGCATCAGCATCGCCTAGGACTTGTTAGAAATGCAAATTCTTGGGGGCCAGGAGGAGGCGTGGCAGTTAAGGTGCTGGACTCCTACATGGCTAACCATGATTCAAGTCCTGGAATTGGCAGCTTGCTTTCTCACTTCCCCCCTCTTTCTGTCTCTCTCTGGTGAGTGCACATGCCCTATAACAAATAAAAATAAATAAATAAATAAAAATAAATAATTCTTAAAAAAAAAAAAGAAATGCAAATTATTGGGCCACAGTCCACACTTACCCAATCAGAAACCCTGGGATAAGGTCTGCAACCCATGCATTAAACATGATGCTCCAAACCGTGGTGTTTATGTGGCCTTTTGTTCCAGTTGCTGACTCTCACTCCGATGGACTTAGCCACGAAGTGGGTACAGTCCTCCTGAGTCTCACCCCTTACTGCTTTCTGCTTCTTCCCTGTTCCATCCTCTCACTGCCTCATCCTGCCGTCCTGCTTCCCAACCTTCCCCGTAAGCTCTGGCTACCCCTGCATGGTAAGCAAACTCTCGCCTCTCCAATCCCTTCACAGAACACTTACTCTGTTTCTCTAATAGCATCCAGGCTCTTTCTGGAGAAGAGTCCCTGAGCCCTCTTGTATACTTGTACACACCCACACCTATTTGTCCCCAGAGTTGGAGGGAGGAGGGTCCTGTATCTTCTACAGAGCCTTGATCCTGCTTCCAGACCTTTCCAGTTCTCCTTGCAACACAAAACCACTGGATGCTGGCCCAGCTTAGATAACGTAGGCAGCAGCATACTGACTTGCAGTACTGGAAGGCACATGGCCAACATGGGTTTGGATCCCAAGTAGACCTGAAACATGCAAGTGCACCCAAAATACCAACTAGCTGGAGGACCAGAGGAAGGGAATTGCATCATACTAAGATCCTGGTAAGGGAATCTATGTGTATGTCTCTCTCTCTCTCAAAAACATAAACTTAAAAAAAGCCCTGGATGTTTTGAACAAGAAAATCCTTATAATAATTGAAAAAAACACCTGCAGTAAGTCCCTATGCTTGAAAATACATGTACCACACCTGCAAATACAGGCAAAAAATACTAAAATACACCAAAATTGCTAATAGCAGTCATCTTCGAATGGTGACATAATAACTTTTATTTGACTTCAGAGATATAAAGTGAGCTTTCCTTCCCTCTGTAAAACCTGCCGTTGTTCAGTCCACTCCACGTTTGCAGCTATCAGGCTGCTCTCTGGGTGCTGCTGGACCCAGTGCATTACAGGGGTCAGTTGTGTTTACTCCCCAACTAGTTTAAATTGTACTTGTTGCTATTATAACAAATTATTTATTTGAACACAACACGTACGAAATATGACTGTGTGAAGAAAAGGTAGATTCCATGAAACAAAGTTAAATGCTTTGAAAGCTTGTTTGGAGATTCTAGCAGGGGAGCGCAGTTATGGTATACCCTTGACTGAAGAATGGTCCTCCTCTATCAGGGAAGGTCATCCTCTTCAACCGAGCACGCAGCTTCGGGAGGGATGCACATGGAGCAGTGAGGGAGGAAGGGGACACCCGCTTAGCTAGCCAGATCAGCCGAATCAACCCTGGCGATCAATGGGGTGACAGATGTCGCAGATCTCCAGATGGCCCTCACATCCCAAAGTTAAATGCTGTGAAAGACTTAGGTTTGTGTTGGAAAGAAAAAATGCCATTGGCCAGACAACTGTAAAGATTAGGGAAAAGGGCCCACCCATGAGGTGACAGGACAGCAGGATCCCACATGCCTGGCGGTGCAGTTCGAATCCCAGACCTGGTAGCTTGAAAAACACACATGTACATGTGTGCCCAAAATCCCGAAAGGAGGGAAAAACAGAGGCAAAGGGATTGAGGTCTGACCATCCCCCATGGGAGGCGCTTTCTCGCTTGCCCTCCCTCTCACTCTCTGCAAGTGCATGTGCCCTCTGGCAAAATTATGAAAAAGAAAAAAAGAAAGGAAGGAAGGAAGGAAGGAAACCATTAGGGAAGACCATTAAAATCTGGAAAGATTTTACATGTAGATGGCTTCATAAAACTTAATCTAATGTTTTAGTCAATTTGGGCTGCTATAACAAAGTACCATAGATTGGGTGACTTTCTGTTTTCTTTTCTGAAAATGAAGAGATTTTTAATGTATAAATAAAAGACTATCTAAATGATATCCAGAATAAAAGTTTGGTTTTGAAATAGAAATTTTTAGCAGGTTTTACAATGATTTCAATAGACCAGCCTTCCAGATCACAGTGTGGAAGTATAATGAATATACCTCCTTCCCTGTGGGGGAAGCTTTAAAGTATAGCTTTTGCAAGAAGATTGCAAGAGTGAGGCTAGATCTCAAGTTAATGGATGCCCATTCAAAGAAAAGACCTATCCTTTAACCAAAAGACTGGTAAATAAATGTATATTTATATACTTTAAAACATTAAATAGTACTATGCTTTCATCTACTTATTCTTTTTCTAAAGATTTTTTATTACCATTATTATTTTAATTTCCAACAAGGCACGTGCACTCACAAGAGACAGAGAGAGAAAGAAAGTGAGAAAGCAACCTGCCAGATCCAAGACTCGAGCTACAGTCAGCTATGGGGAGTCCAGCACCTTAACCACCATACTACCTGCTGACCCCCTACTTATTCTTTTTAATAAATTCGTATCTACAGAACTATTCTTCTGCATTTTTGCAATTAGGAGAAAATTAAAAACCCAAGCCATAACTGTTTGAAGCTATTCTCACCTTCCAATTCATGGTAGACCAATTATGACTTCACTGCAGATCCATGCCACTCTTAATCATGACAGGTACCTGAGAAGAGGGGGCTGGCAGATGAGGTCCTCGGAGCCCGCAGGTCTGATCTGGGCAAGGAGAAAAGAAAGAGGTCAGCCAGAGGTTTCTAGCACAGACCACCTTGGGAAACAAGAGAACAGCATGACCACACCCTACCGAGGAGTGCTTTCTTCCTCTCCCTCTGGTATGAGCTCTCTGACAAAAAAAGAAGGAAAAAAAAAGTGTCCTAAGAAAGCAACTCATATGTAGAATTCTCTCTAAAGCACAAGGGAGACTTAGTGACTAGTGGAAGGTAAGGCAGAGGGACAAGGCAGGGACACAGCCAGAGCACAAGATTTGCTCTGACGCCTCATATGTCACTATTTTTAGGCTATAACATACTCCAAGAGTCAGAAAACTTGAAATCGAGATGGAGAATCTACATTCTTGTGACTTCCCTCTCAGGATCTTGGTCGCATAAGTGGGAAAAGAGGTGTCAAACAGACAGTCTCTAAGGCCCCTACTTTTTCCCCAATCTGATGACCAATAGCAAAAATGATCATAGCTGCCCTGGGCCGCATTGAAGTGCTAGTCCTCAGACTGCCTTATGAGATGGTTTATTACCTCCACTTTACAGACAACGGAACCAAGTTGAAATAAAGCACCTGGAGTCTCACAGGTGGGACTGGGGTTCAAACCCATCCAGTACGGCTGTAGGGCCTCATCTGTATTCCAAAATCATGGGAACATTCTTCTTCAAATGTATTTAGAATGGAGCCAATCAGTGGTGCAGTAGTTAAGACAGCTGGATCCAACATGGCCGACCATGTGATCTGAGTCCCAGACCAGAAGCTTGACAAACACATCAGGGGGGGTGTGTGTGTACGTATGCAAAATTCCAAAAGGGGGGAGAAATGGAGAAGGGACTATAGTGTGGCTATCCCTCATGGTGGGTGTGCTCTCTCACTTTCTCTCCTTACCTCTCTCTGTAGTCCTCTACAAAAAAAAAAAAAAAAAGTTCTTGGAGTTAAGAAAAACAGCAGAAAATTTCACAGGCCTTTGGAACAGGACTAGGACAGAAATGTATTATAAGAAACTCTGTATTACAAGAAAAATGTATTATAAGAAACTTTGAATTACAAAAGTCTCCAAATGTAAAAAGTCCATACTTCATCAATTCAAGGTCATCGTATCTTGAAAACAAGCTACAGCTAGCACCAGATAGCCAAGTCTTCTCTGTGACTTTTGCAAAGTCAGATAAGCTAATCGGAGGAATTATAACCACAGACCTGTTTAAAGGAGATGATGGTGATCAAAGTGCTCTTCACCTTCATGTGTAAATGGCCCACCTGTCTTTAAGTAGCAGCAGATCCCTACCTGGACTGGGGAAATTCATTCCTAACATGTTATAACCTGTGGCAGAATTTTTATTTTGACAATCTTTAATAATCTTATGGATAAGCCATACTGTACTTTAAATAAGATGTTTAAGGTCTTGTAAATTTTATTTTTATAATCTCCGCTTTGAGTTGTGCATGAATCTATTAGGAGAGTTTACCTGCTTTCTGCAAATTTCCTGAGGCCAAATTATGCCAGTGAACTGATGTATGTAGGATATTGATTCCCAAGGTCAAGGACAAGAAAGAGTCCAAAAGATTTACAGGAGAAAATAAATGGAAAAGAACATCTGGTTTTCCGGCCCTCTGGCAAACAGGTGCTATGTTGGTAAGTCACTTAGGTAAGTTTCTAAGCCTCAGTTCCTTCATGTAAATTCTCCTTGGAGACTGGATGGTAACCAAGCACACACTCAGCACACAGAAAGCATTAAATACATGTCAAACGCTATTGTGATAACTCTCCTCCCACGAATGGACACACCAAGCTGAAGGATATAAACGAGTGACATCCAGGGCAAAACACAGTCACTGCAAGACAAGCAGCATATGGAGTAAAGAGCAGTACGCTGGGACCAGGAGAGCTGGAGAGCTGGGTTCTGCTCTTGGTGGTACCAATGCTGGGGCTCAGGAACCAACGTGTTCCCATTTTCAAAATCAGAATCCATAGGATGAGTCCACAAATCTGGAACTCACACCCAACCATCCTTTCTGATATCACGGAGCCTAACTGCAGTGGCAGCTGCCTCTACTTCGTATTTTAATAGCTAGAGTGATTAAATTTAAGCTCTTTAGGGAATACATATAAAGTCAGTCACAACAGTAGTGGCAACAGTAGGATGAGGGTGAAAAACAAGAAGACAAACTGCCACGAGCAGCCCTGCTGATTCCCACCCACTTCGAAATTACAACTTTTCCCACCTTCCTAAATTACATGTCCCACTTCAGCCGTTTTCACAGCACCCTGCTGGCCTTCTGCAAATGAGATCAACTATGAGAGCTAAAAATATCTGTGAGCTATGCTGCCACAGGCACAACTGACGCACTGATATTATAGAAACGAGAGGCAGCTGGAGTCTGAGGGCTACCCTACAAAGAGCCAGGATGGGAAAATTTTGTGGTGCATAAAACCTAGGAATTTTAGAATTTTTAAAAAAATTCTTCTTTTTTTTTTTTCATAGCTTTTGCTCTCAGGTGTTTGCACTCCCTGAAGAGACAGAGTGAAATACAGAGGGAAAGTGAGAAATCACACACATCCCCCCAGAAGGATGGCAATGCCACATCCCTTCTCCATTTTCCCCTCTGTCTTTGAGCATGCGCGTGCACACACACACACACACACACACACACACACACACACACGTGCCAGGTGTATTTTCCAAGCCACCAGGTCTGGGACTCAGACGCCCAGTTGGCCATGTGTGGGATCCAGCAGCCTTAACCACCACTCCCCTGGCTGGAATTTTAAACTTCCCCTGGAACAGTTCACAGGCTTAAAACTAAAAAATAAATGTGGGGCTGGCAGGGTGCGGTGGTTAAGGCGCTGGACTCCCACATGGCTGACTATGCTGGAGTCTCGGAGCTGGTGGCTTGCTTTCTCAATTTCCCTCCCTCTCTTCCTCTTCAATTAAAATGATAATTATGATGAATAAAATAAAATAATTATTTTTAAAATAACAAATGTTCTAGCCTGCTATCAAATACTTCTATTTCCTTTACTGCAAAAATATCCTAATTTTTCCTTTGCCAAGTTTCTCCTAGAAACAAAAAAGGTATTCACTTATTTTGTTTAGGCCAGTTGAAGTAATATGGACAAAGGTAGCCTACAATTTACTTTGTCTTCTTGGCTCACAATAAAGTCCAGCATATCTCCTGTAGTCTCACCCGTTCTGGTCACGTTTCAGTCCGTTTCAGTCCGTGTTCTTTGTCTGAACTTTCTGAAGCCATTCTCAATCTCTATCCTTTTCACTCCAGTCCTTCACCCAGTCATTTGCTAGGGCCAGGCCTGGGGCGGTGGCGGCCAGGTCAATCTGGGGCACTCCGTGGCCCTCCTTGCTCTGGCCAGCCTCACAGGACCTCAGCTGCTCAGACCCCACCTGCTGGAACCCCACGCCCTGGCAGGGTGCCTGTGCTCACTGCGCAGCCCCAGCTGGGTCGCTGAACTGCTCTGGGCTCAGCTCCACTTCGGTTACCTGGGGTCGGTTCCAGGATCCTTTCCCCAGCCCACCCCGACACCCAGGGAGCAACACCTGCCCCACACACACCCAAGGACGGAGGCCAGGGGCTGTCATCTCTTCCCCCACTCTTCCACAGAGCAGGGTGTCCAGGATATTCGTTCTTCTCTTAAGGCCTCAGAAGCCAACACCTTCTGGCCAGAACCAAACTGGGCCCTGCCGGGACCTCGTTTCAGCATGAGCGTGCGGGTCCGCAGGCGTCGGGGGGGGGCCTGGACCACCGGGTCCGGCAGAGGCGCTCGGGGTGAAGAGCCACGCGGGTCACCCACCAGCCCCCCGCCAACCCCGCGCCGCGCGGCCGCGCCCCACAGCGTCTAACTGGGAGAGAAAGCGCCAACGCAGGGTCTGCCACCGGCCTCCCAGCACCCCGGAGGACGCTTAGGCTTCGGGGTAGGCGTCCACCAGCCTGAACGTTGCACACTTACCGCTCCCTGTCCCCTGCCCAGGCACAAGTCGCGACGCCCACCGTCCTGCGGGGAAAACTACACGTCCCGAAATGCACCGCTCCGCACGCACGCGCAGAGAATCTGATCGCCCCACCCCCACCTCCGGGGCACCGGACTCCGAGCACTGTCGCAGCGGACCGGGGCGGATCTGAGGCGGGCGCAGGTCGCCATCGGTCCGGTCAGGGGTCTTGTTCTCGTTCTAGTTGAGCTGGGGGAGGGCGAGCCTGCGCGGGTTCCCCTGCCCTCAGCTGTACCGCTTTGCCTGGGTGCCTTCTGGGTGTCTGCGGCGGGGATGCGTTGGGACCCTACTAGGAGTGTCCACATTTAGCACATTTAGCATATTTCATTTCTGACAGCTGCGTGCATTTTCCTTTGGCAGGAAGTGTAAACTCGTGCAGTTTGAGCATGCCCAGTCTTGCTAGGTGGGAGGGCGAAAACGGGACATCCAGGTAGAAGGTGAGAGGGAATGTTCATAGACTTCCTACTAGCTCATCCTTCTTGAAAGGGCTAAGATTCCCAAGTGCCTTTAGGATGTGTCTTTGTGACACCCTGAGGGGTTGACTCAGTGTTTACACTGACACTTTAATGGGGACACTCGTTAAAACTCCCAGGTGCTTCAAACATTCCCCTCCCCTCCCCCTCCCCCTGCTCCCTCCCCTCCCCCTGCTC